TCACTTCTTGCCCTTCCTCGCTTTCTTGGCACCTTTGTCCTTCTCATCTTCTTCTTCCTCTTCGTCCTTGCCGCGGCGAGTGACCGCATGAAGCTGCTGGGAGATGAGCCGTGAGTCCGCAAGGTGGTAGTGCTTCAAGGAGGTGCCAGCGTCGTGGCCCAGGAATTTCTGCAGGGTTCTTTGGTTTTGCAGAGTGGAGAGTAGCGCAGGATTCGATGTGAGCATGGCCTCCGCAGCTGTCCTGATGTCAGTCGAGGGCGCCTTACCCACCATTTTCACAAGCTTCCGGAATTTGTCGTAGGGCAACATCCTCCAGATCACTTTCTCCCCAGAGCCCTTTCTCACCTCTGGCTTGATGCTGCCTTGGCCGTGGACCCGGACAAGGTGGGGCTGGTCCGTTTCCATGAACTGGAGGAACATCCGTGTCCACTCCTTCGAGAGCAGCTTCTTGGCCACAAAGTAGCCCTTGCTCATACGCTTTGCCTTCTCTGTCTTTGTGGGTGCAACGCCAGCCGGTACGAACTCGAAAGTGTCGTTCTTCCGGCTCCACCGGAGGGTGCGGTGTAGCACCTTGTGGATGAAAGAGGCAGGTAAAAAATCTCACAATTGACAAAGATGAGGTTGGAAAATCTCACAGTTCACAACGATGAGGTTGGAAAATCTCACAATTGACAAAGATAAGGTTGGAAAATCTCACAATTCACAAAGATAAGGTTGGAAAATCTCACAATTCACAAAGATAAGGTTGGAAAATCTCACAATTCACAAAGATAAGGTTGGAAAATCTCACAATTCACAAAGATGAGGTTGGAAAATCTCACAATTCACAAAGATAAGGTTGGAACATCTCACAATTAACAAAGAGAAGGTTGAAAAATCTCATAGTTAAGAAAGATAGGGTGGAATGATCAGGATGTTCCTCTAAAAGCAGACAAGGATCAAGCTTCCAGACCGTGCCGATCCTCTCACAAGTCTCCATGATTGCGACTGCCGCAAGGTACGCAGCCTTGTAGGTGGCAAGCCTGTACTTCATGTAGTTTTTGGCAGCCTCATCGGTGTCGTCCGGCAGGTTGGCTATGCGCTTCTTGAGCTTCCGGATCTTGTCTAAGAAGGCTTCCGCCATGCCCATAATCTGCGGGGCAGTGAGCGGATCTTCCTCATCCTCGGTGTCTTGGCCGTCCTTGCGCGGGGCTGGCAGGCCAGGTCCTGCAATGGCACGGGCTTCCTCAGAAGTCTTGCCAAAGGCCCGCACAATGTCATTCCATTTCTGCATCTTCGCCGCTTCATCCTTCTTGCGGCCCAGCTTGCCCACAAGCAAAACCTGCTGGCACGCCACCAGGTTCCGTGTGACCAAGCGGATGGCCCCTGGGGTGTAGGGCTTCTTCCGGACCGTGTCATCTTCTTCCAAGTGAAGAAAGTAGGCCTTCAAGCACTTCTTTTCCTTCAACGCCAGGGCCGCGTCAACCTTCAAAGCGTCCGTGAGCAAGTCATGCTTCTTCAGCCAACCAATGTACCTAGTCTCACATCACAGAAACATGGAGAGTGGATGAGGTAGAAAAAAAGACCCGTGGCAAACAAGATAAGTTTAAGACATCAACCTTATCCACAAGTCAAGCCACGCCCGGAACCCGTACCAGTGCATCTCAGCCGTTGCCTCTCCGCAAACGCGCTTGCGTTTGCCTCCGCTGGCAAGGCTGGAGGTGATTGTCTTGAAGAAGTTCTCCCTCAAGCCCTCGGGCATTTCGTCCTCCCGCAGGGCGAACCGGGTCTTCTCCATATGGTTGGGAGGGGGGCGCCGGTTGGACATGTCGTATCCCTGGTTCCGCTTGTTCCCGGCTGGCTTCTTCATGGGTCTTTCCTCCTCTGAGGCTTCCGGCTCCACTTCTCGCACTGGGCACGCATCATCCTCTTCCAGATAGAGGATGGCATCGTAATGCATTTCCTGTCACTGGTTTTTGAATTTCACACCCAAAGGTTTGACGCAACGATAAGATAAGGTGGGCACGCAAATGCAAACTTGGACCTTAACATGTATGGTTTGTTTGTGCTCGTAAGGTTTGACACAATGATAAGGTGGACACGCAAATGCAAACATGTCTCCTGGAAGTTGGAGACTTCAAGAAAGAAAACAGGGTCGGGATCGTTCGCAGGAAGAACCTCGTGAGTCTGCAACACGTGGTCTTCCGTCTTCGGATCCACTTCCATCCGCCAGACTCTGATACCCACTCCATAGACATTTGCCAAAGCTTTGAGTGTCAGGTGATCTCCCCATGTTTCCTTTTGCAGGAGCTCCCACATGTACGAGTCCCAATCACCCTCCATGAAGCCCTCGTACTCCTCCCAATTGTCCTGGACAGTCAAGAAAGATAAGGTTGAAAAATCTCACAGTTACGAAAGATAAGGTGGACATGTTGTAGCACCTTTTGAAAGATAAGGTTGAAAAATCTCACAGTTACGAAAGATAAGGTGGACATGTTGTAGCACCTTTTGAAAGATAAGG